TCATCGAGTCCATCCTCACCTCTTTCATCACCATTTGGTACGCTGCTGCCACTGCCAAGGACAAGGACAGATTGCAGCGTATCATTCGATCTGCTGAGAAGGTAATCGGCTGCAATCTGCCATCCCTACAGGACCTGTACGCCTCCAGGACCCTGAGGCATGCAGGCAAGATTGTGGCTGACCCCTCTTTGAAACACTTCCCTCTGACAGAAGGCTGCAGTCCATCAGGACCAAAACCTCACACCACAAGAACAGTTTCTTTCCGTCTGCAGCTGGCCTCATTAACAAGGCCTGGAACCCCCAATTGACACTGACTCTTAAACCCACCCTGTATATATGCATTACATTAATGCACTCCCGTTTCCTGTACAGTTTTGGATCTTTCTATCCTTATCCTTATCTTTATTTATATTTTAAAAGTACTATAGTTTTCTGTGATTTTTATATTTTATGCACCAATGCACCAAGACAAGTTCCTTGTATGTGTAAAAACTTACTTGGCATGATTCTAATTCTGTTCCAAGAATCACCGACTCTGGTTTGGTCAAAATAAACCAGACTGGCTATGTAAACAAACCATAGAGAGGCTGCAATAGCAATACAGGCAGAGTGTGACATTATTCTCTGCTCAGCCACCATGACCAGGGGCATTTCCATAAAATTTTGACCTGGGTGGCACAAAGGGTGGCATTGACTTATGCAGAGGTGGTATGATGTGTCTCAGCTTTCAAGTCATTACCAATATTCCGATACTGTTTATGCAGTATCCCAGTATGCAGAAATATTAAATTACATTTGGCGAAAATAACTGCCTGGGATCAGTATAAAGTGGGCATGTCTGCAAATGGGACACTTATGGGTAGCCATAGAGCCCATTTTCATTCAGATATCCTGAGGCTATAGGTAATGGGATCCTTTGGAAAATGAACCATCGCCAAAATGTATCCTAACTTTAGAGTATTATTTAGCCACTATCCCAACATCTTAGCCTCACTCCAGCTTTAAAACAAAGTCTGCTATACCTACCCAAAGACAATGTGGAGTAGAAGTGTTAATGGTGAAATTTTATTTCAGGAGTGTTAGCAAATTAGTAAAATATGGTCTCATTAACCATGTCATGTGATATTATATTTTGGAATTCACTCATGTCTATAATGTGAATTATATATATCGTGTTATATATATCATGTCAAGATTTTGTCCAGAATGACCATAAGCAGTCCAGCCAAATAATAGATTTTGAACTATTCTTGTTTCCTCCTCATCTCACAGGATACATCAGTGCACTGCTCACTGATAACAGGTCTGCTCACTGCTGACATGCCTGCTCCATCACAGCTGACTGCTGGACACATGATTTGCTGATCATCAGTCTGCTACATTAGCTGCCATTTATTTTCTCATCACATCATTTTAGCCTCTGTAACACCACCAGCTTCTGTCCTGGAGGCAGCTGATTTTAGCGAAAAAGAGAATTCATCACAAGTTTTGTTGAAGCTTTTATTACTTGTGAAGATGATTTATGTTTGGTGACTGATTCAACATTTGACATTGATTTACATATCTACGGATGAATTATTGAATTTGTTAGATGTCCTGGGAAAACAAAAAAAGATAAAAGACAAATATGTCTTTAACAGCATTTAGTTCTTTTTCCCCCCTAGATCAATATATATATATATATATATGACTAAATATAAAATGATACTTCACCTACTGAACAGATCAGTCTGCATCCTGGGATATTAATAAAAGCATGTACATGATTTTTCTTCTGCAGCCACAAACAACATAACAAATCAGAGCTGTGTCTCATAATGGATAGTCAGGCTGACACTGACACTGTCAGCCACCCGGCAATTTTTCCCTCATCATAAACTACATGTGGGGCACAGAAACTGTTGTTTTTCACACCTGCTTCAGGCTAAAGAAACACTGATGAATTAAACAACAGGAAACCAATCAATCTGAGCGAGCTGATTTGTCAGATGTGAGCAACTGGATTGCCACCTGGTGACAAATTCAGCCCTGCCTGCTGCTGGGTGTTCATCCAAACCAATAGAAACCTCTCAGAGAGGGAAAGTGCAAACAGACCTGCACACTATCAAATAATGAAGTTTTCAATTCACATCAAACACCTTCCTCATGTTCTTCAACCACCAGCACATCCCAGTCTCATCCAGTTCGCCAGTACCAACGTTTTGTCGTCTCGTCTCGTCTCATACTGATATATGAGGTACCCCTTAGCGTCTGAGACGCACTGGGCTGTCATAAAACCTTTAGGAAGTCAGGTGGCGTGGTGTAAAGAGCAACATAGGTAGATGGTTGTGGTGGATGGACGGGCATATTACAACTTGTTGATCTGAATGATAGCTGCTAGAACAGAGTTTTTCCCTTATTTACCTTTATTTCTTTTATCTTATATAAACGATAACCTTTATCCTTTTTCATGTTTGTATCATGTTTGTCAGTTGTCTGAGTTGTTTGTTGTTTTTGCATTTTTGTCAAGATGAGTCTTTGTCTTTTATTGTAAACCAAATCTACCTATGGGTACAAGGTTATATTCTTCTGCTGTCTTATAGAATATGTAAAAGTCATCTTATTGATATTTCTCTTGTCAAGTTATGGGGAAGAGGGATTGGTGATTTGAAAATTGTAAATTAAAAAAAGAAGAAATCTGTAAAATAAACAGGAAAAACTTTCAGATTTTTTTGTTTGTTTGTTTGTGTGAGATGTGATCATCACCCTGCCTTAGAATTGGTGAATACGTAGTTTGTAGCAGAGATCTCTGGAGTAGGTCTCCTCCATGAAAAAATAAACATTCTCAGCCAAATGAAATCGTTGTAAACCTCCAAGCATGAAACCTGAGCAAGTGATTTTTAATGATCCTATAGCAGTGTACTACTATGCTCTATGAATGTGTGTGTGTGTGTGTGATAGGGATCTTTATGGATGGACCGGGGAATCAATCAAGCAGAATCAAGTTCCAGCCTCATGTGCCTCTGTCTTATCAAGTGGCAGCGTGCTGACCGATGGTCCAGATTTAAGATGATCTACATGCCTTTATGCAAGTGGGACTAATCCATCAAGAGCAGACGCTCACTCCATCATCCCTGCTTACACTGAAACAAAAAGTTAAAAAAAAAATCTGCAAAGCCATTGTACAGTTTGCATAATTTTTTAACCATAGATAGTATCATAAACTGTTTCACTTTATAAATCTAACAAGTCAAACATTTGACAGCTGCATTTAAAGTCAAAGTTCCAGTGCAAAATACAATTCAATTCAATTTAATTTAATTCAATTTTAT